TTCTGAAAGGAGTCAGAGTCCTTGAGGAGATGCCGAGACGTGTGTGCAGCGCCCCCTGGTGATCACACTGGCTTCTCGGGGTGGCAAGAGCCGGGTCGCCAGGAAAGACAAGGTGTATTTTTCGACACCCTATCAGTTCCATCAAAAAAGTTCCCAGTGACAAATCACTTTTGGAGAAAGCGTTTCCAGCATCTCCCCTCTCCATTTTTAATCTAGAATTTTTCTTTTCCGTTCCTTCCACATGTCATTATAAAGGTGTTTCTGTTAGCACATTTCAATGGAAGGGACTGAAGGGGGCTGCAAGGGAAGTGTGAAGTGTGCTTTCAGGTGTGCAGGACTGAGAAAATTAATACATAGTACACGTAGGGAACACTTAATTAAAAACACAGGGTAATGTGTGTTGAAAGGTCAAGATCACTGACCTGAAGTAAATTATTTGCATTCAGGACAGACGGCAATCAGAGATGATTCACAAATAATTTACGTATGCATTTATTTAATCCTGCCTCATCTTGTTCTAGAAACCATATGCATTCACTACAATAAGGTAAAAAGAAAGTTGTAAGGTAATCAGGGCAGCTGGAGAAATAAAGGGAAGCATTCAAAAGAAAAAAAGGGAGTTGGTACTTAGGGAAGGGAGAGACATTTAGAATATGCTGCCCTCAGAGGCAGAGAACACCCCTTCTGCGAGACTGTGCGGTGCAGGCCAGGTGGTGCTCCCTGGGGATTCTGTGGAGGAACTGGACCACGGGCTAGGAGCTGAGCCAGGTGACTTCTCTCCTGGCCCCAGTGCACGAACGAAGCACTTGCTGCAAGATTATTGCATGTGTGTCACTGTCACTTCTTTTACTGGAATGGCATAAAACAGCTTGAAGACCGGATTCCTACCCTTGATGGGTTTCCCCCTAGAAGTAAGACCAACATGCATGTTGTCATTAGAGAAGGATGACGCAGTTTCTCATTAGATGTTAAGTTGACCTTGAAGAGTGTTGGGCTCTGGAAGGAGGAGAAGGATTGTAGTGATCATGTCAATTTGGGAAAATGTGTTTATGGGAATTTGCATGCATGCTGTATGCTGAGTGTGAAGAGGTTCAGGTAAGAGAAGGGAATCAGGAAGCCTGGAGTCCAGCTCCTTTTGTAGACGGCTACCCTCTGATAGTTCTCAAAGATGCATAGCAACTCTGGCCCAGGTTGGGTCGATGCTGAGATCAGAGTGGTTCTGATCTGGCAAGGAAGGTATGCTTGCAGCATCATTCTCACAGGGCAAGGCTGGTAGGAAGGTTCAACCCAGAGCAAGCTTGCCCAAAGAGGCATCTGTCCAGAGGAGGAAGGAAAATGGGAACCCAGGATCATGGATGGGGGAAGCAGACCTGGGTAGAAAGTGGTCACCTAGAAAGGCTGATGCCCACCTGGTGCTAGAGTTTGGTGTCCATCTGGGAATGACACAAAAATGAAGGAAGCTGCCTGTCTAGGATGAGCTCTTGGGCAGAGAAAGGGTGACAGTAGACGGGAGATACTGAAGGACAGCAGGGGCTCCCTGGGAGCGCTGAGTAAGCACATGCCTGGCAGGGAGGGGGTCTGAAAAAAAAAAGCATGTAAAACGACATAAATTAACATAGAATGTGAGGCTCTGTTGGAAACAGACCTGAACTAGGACAATGAGGAGTGTTACTTGTGAGACCATTTTGAGGGCTGAGGACAGGGAAACAGAATTGAAAAGGAGAAATGAGATAGAGAGAGGGAGACGGGAAGAATGGAAGGGCCAGGAAGGAAGCCCTGCCCTTGAACTTCCTTCCCCGGCGCCTCCTGAAGCTCTTTACACTTTATCGTCCTTGACTTCCTCCTCTGTTTTAACACTGCGTTCTGTTTGCCAGTTGATTAAGACGGGCTTAGAAATAAACATCGTTTTCACAGGGTCTCACTGTTATGCGTTCTTTCTCAATTTGAAAATGTCTGTCCTTTAAGAATGTTGTGAAGGAGAAAAGTAACGTGGCCAAGATGGGAGGTGACGATGTACCTGTGGTTCAGCAGGAGAATTCAAAGGACCAGAAATACACCATTGGTGTAATTGGTGAAAACGGCCCTTCTTTGGTAGAAAATAGTTCTCTTGGTTTTCCTTGGCCACCTCACTCTCAAGTAACCCTTGGGTTCCACGGAAGAGAGGGGACGTGAACACACTTGTACCTTTCTGTCTCGGCTTTTATCCAGGAGCAGGTAGTTCTTTATTTAACCTTTCAAACCCATCACTTACCTAGATTACCATCACCTTCCTCATGTCTTTATGTTGTCATCATCTTTTTCAGACAACCTTACAGATAATCTGCAGAAAACAGGAGAAAGGAAAGAAAGGGAGGGTAGTGGTGACCACTGAACAGGCAATATGTAATAATTACGTTTTTTTTTTTCACTAAAAGAAAAAGAGAGTAACGTAAAACAAATATTTTTCATTTTGAAATTTGTATCAATAGCTGATGAACACTCTCCACGTCCTGATGTCTGGTCGTCTAGATTCTTAAGCCATTTTTCATTCTGGCGACTTAAACAGGGCTATCAGATGTGACAATTAAGCACCTAAAAATATCAAGTCAGTAGTAGATGTGCCTTGTATATTCACAGCCCCAACCAGAGAGGCCCAAGGCGCCAGGGACTGGAGGAAGACTTGTGTCTAAACTGCTTTCTGTATTCTCATAGCTGTGGTATCAAGATCACATTTAGGAAATGTATCTTTTCTCTTTATTGCCTGTCATTTCTGTGTATACTTTGCACTCTGCTCCGTCACTAGTAACTAATTCCTGTTGGAGTTTTAGGGTAGGTTGGCTAAAACTCACCCCATATTTGAAAGGCTAGTTAAGTATTCTGTTACTTGGATGTGACGCGCATGAAATTCTCGATATTCAGTTGGTAAACTGACTCTTGGCAACCTACTGGCTTGGGTGAGAGGGCAAGGATGATCTTGGTCACCATTTTGCAGACCAGCACAAGTGAGGGAGGAATCTTAAAAAAGATCATAACCAAAAGGATTTTCTGCCTTCGAGAAGAAGTGTTTTTGTAAGAAGAATCTTAAATTGCTGTTGTATGAAGCTTGGAAGAGAAGGTATTTTATACTATAAAAACGAAGTGAGTTTTATTATGTAGAGGCAGTTTTGATATTCTTGAAAGTGCAAAATGCCTTCTCTGTTGTATGCTGAGATACACTAAAAATCAGAAATAAAAATCACGCGACCTTCTCAGTAGAAGTCAAATGGGTAAGGAAGGAAGGGAATTTGAGAAAACTAAAAATGAATCTTGTACTTTGCATTTTTAAGATCCATTAACACTTATATTTAGTTTCAGAAGAAAAAGAAAAATGAATATATTTCTGCTGATTTTGAAATTAGTGTCATCTTATTTTCACAGAGCCCACCTGAATGACCTTGAAAATATTGTGCCATTTCTTGGCATCGGCCTTCTGTATTCCTTGAGTGGTCCAGATCTCTCTATGGCCCTCCTGCACTTCAGACTGTTTGTTGGATCACGAATCTACCACACAATTGCATATTTGACACCCCTTCCCCAGCCAAATCGGGCTTTGTCTTTCTTCCTTGGGTATGCAGTTACGATTTCGATGGCTTACAGGTTGTTGAGGAGTAAGTTGTACCTGTAACGAGTCATACAACTCACCATCCAGTGATTCTCTAAGAATTGTGTTCTTCCAATTTGTAATGAGTACTTTTGTAGATTTTAAGTGGGAAGGGACCAGAGAAATTAAGATGAGGAAAATCTAGTCTGAATGTTAGCGTCACCAGTATCCTTTATTCTTGTTTCATATTTGCCATAGAAATTTAATGCAATTTGAAACTCTGTCTTATTTTTAAAGCGCTTTGTTGTAAATTTTGATTGTAATTTGTACCAATCCTTCAACATTTCATATTTTAAATCTTTAAAGAGAGTAAGTGCATAGATGTTAAACCTATACTTCAATATTGCTGAAATGGTCACATGAAATAAAGCATTTAAAGAATAATTTCATTTGGTTTGAATAGTTTTTGATTTTTTATTGAAGTATAGTCGATTCACAATGTGGGGTTAGGGTCTGGTGTACAGCATAGTGATTCAATTTCCTTTGGTTTTATTTTTCCCAGCTTACATTTTCAAAAGTTTCAGGCCTACAGAAAAGTAGAAAAGCAGTCCATGAACCTCTCTATAGCTTTCCCCTAGATTTACCAACTGTAAACATGTCACCATATTTGCTTTAGCTCTATCTCTCAATGTTTTTTTTTTCCCCTGGAACAATTTGAAAGTAAGTTGCAGATCTCACGCCCTGAAGATACTTCACTCCTCAGTACTTCAACATGTATGTCCCCTGAATAGAGCAGTCTTCACATAACCACACCATTGTCACACCAAGGGAGTTTAGCCCAAGTGCAGTGACGTTATTTAATACATATAGTTCATATTAAAGGGTTCCCCAATTTTCCCAATAATGTCCTTTATGACTGCTTTATTTTTGGTCTGGGAACCAAACAAGGACCTGACACTATCCGTTCTCTTTCGTTTTCAATAAAATGGATACATTCATTGAGGGTTTTTTTTTTTTTTGTCTTTTATGACATTGGCTTGTTTTGAGATGTTTGGGCGGGTGGGTTGTTTGACAGAATGACCCTTAATCTGGTTTGGTTTTGTCTATAAGTTTCTCATTCATAGAGTCAGAGTAACCGTTTTTGGGGATGTTGTGTTCTTCAGCTTACAACACAGCAACAGACGCGTGATGTCAGTCTGTTCCAGTATTGGTGATCAGTTTAGTAAGGTAGTATTGGCCAGATTTATTAAAGCCATCTTTTTATCTTTGTAATCATATTCGGGGTGACAAACTGAGATTGTGGAAATCCTGTCATCCTGCAAACTTTCAGCCAATGGATTTAGCATCAAGTAATGTTCAGTTTTGTTTCTATGTAAAATATAAATATATAAACATAAAGATTCACAAAACATATATGTCTGCAAACCTATAAACACTATATAAATCCGCACACATTTAGATTTGTTTTAGATATGCACTTAAGCCTTTATAGTAAGGATGAACTTTTTTTTTTACATTTTTATTGATTCATAATCATTTTACAGTGTTGTGTCAAATTCCAGTGTTCAGCACAATTTTCAGTCATTCATGGACATATACACACTCATTGTCAC